TTTTTTTGTTCTAGAAGAGTAAGTTTTTGTAGGTCGATAACTAATAGTTGATTACATTCAATTTTTGTGAATTTTTTTTTTTTTACCAGAAGAAACAAAAATAGCTTTTGATATATTGACTTATTTGAGAAGATTAGATTGTTTTTCGAATATATTTATCGCTTATAGAATACTATTGACAGTTATTGTTATTGTTGCATTCGTCGAAAAATGTTCTTCAAAACTAAAATTATTAAAATCTTATTTGCAATCAACCATGTTACAAGAACGAGTCCACTTGTGAATTGCTATTTCATGATTTTTTTTTTATTTTTTTTTTTTGGGTTCTAGAAGGGTAAGTTTTTGTTTGTTAATAACTAATAATTGATTACATTCAAGTTTTGCCAATTTTTTTATGAGAAGAAACAGAAATAGCTTTTGATATATTGACTTATTTGACAAGATTGAATTACTTTTCGAATATATTTATCGCTTGTAGAATACTATTGACAATTATTGTTATTGTTGCATTTGTCAAAAAATGATCTTCAAACCTAAAGTTATTAAAATCTTATTTGTGATCAACCATGTTACAAGAACGAGTCCACTTGTGAATTGCTATTTCATGATTTATTTTTATTTTTATTTTTATTTTTTTGGTTTTAGAAGGGTAAGTTTTTGTTGGGTGATAACTGATAGTTGATTACATTCAATTTTTGCAAATTTTTTTACAAAAACAAAAAACAAAAAAACAAAAATAACTTTTGATATATTGACTTATTTGACAAGATTGTATTGATTTTCGAATATATTTATTGTTTATAGACTACTATTGACAATTATTGTTATTGTTGCATTTCTCGAAAAATGTTCTTCAAAACTAAAGCTGTAAAAATCTTATTTGCAATCAACCATGTTACAATAATGATTGAGTGCGCTAGTTTTGATATTTATTTATTGGAAAAGATTTGCTAAAACATATTGATTACAAAACTTTAATTAGTGAGTTTGTTTCTAAAAATGTAAGAACAAATATTTTTACATGATCTGTTGCATTTCAAGATTTACATGTGGTAAGTGCTATTTTTTATTTCAAAGTTTGCTCATGTGAAATTGTACCAAGAGGTTAATAGTTTGGATTGTTCTCTGTTGATAACATATGAATTTTGATGCATTTCAGAGAATGCTTTTGAACTTTATTTACATTTTTTTATTCACTATATGTAAAAATAAACAAAATTTGAATGTCATGTTTTTGGTATGAAATGACGTTATTGAATTATTATTATTTTTGTATATTTTTTATTAAATGAAAGGGGCATCATTTTAAAATGCCGCACGAGACACCTAAAATTTCAGGGCCGGCCCTGCTCATATGAACCATGGAACCAATCCTCTCCTGCCCATCAAAACAACACCAGACAACTTCTTTCCCATTCTCAAGTTTTCTATTTCTTGTTTTGCATCTTCACTTTCAACACCT